ATAATTTTGTCCTGGAATATATAATAAATATTGTTAATAGTATAAAAAAATTTTTTTTATATATATATATGAAACAAAAAAATTTTTAAAAAAGTGTAGTTTGGTCCAGACAAACATAACAAATTATTAAAAAAGGTTTTGTTGTTTGGTCCTGACAAAGGTAACATATTTTATAAAGATCTTCATTAAAATTTAAGGTGTGTTAGAAGTTTTTAGGACAAAAGTTTAACAAATGAATTAAATTTTAACAAGGGTTTAAACAAAAAATTGCAGTAGCACTTTCATTTTGAATGGTGTAGTGTTGACTGTAGTTAACCGATAATTAATCAGTTTAGTCGAATCTCGTTTTAGGGGTTTGGCGAGAAAAAAATTTGATTAAACATGAAAAATTATTGGTAGGGGGGTAGGGGGGTTTGCCATAAAAAAAATGTATTTTTTTTTAGTTTAATTTTAATTTATATGGTTAAATTTAGTATTATAATTAATTTAGTTGTTGTAGAAAAAATATTAATAATTTTTTTAGTTTCGTGTGATGAGCACGGACGCGGAGTATTGTGTATAAAATATTGCATTAGAGGTTTTTTTGAAAATTTTGTTAAAAATTTGTTAAAATTTGTTGAAATTTGTATGGGAAATTTTAGGGTTGCGTTCGTGGTATAAAAAAATATGTCTAGCAAGCATTAAGACAATAATACCATATAGAGAACTTGCGCGAAGACCATTGCACTGTTAGTTCAGACTAAAACCGGATTGGTAGGAGCACTTGAGATGAGGTCTGAAGGGAAAGAGAAATAAAAAATACCAGCCGCCAGGAAAACCAGTTATGCTATGAGCAAGGGTAAGAGGGTAACTAACCCATTAACCAGAGGCCTTGGAAAAGGTGAGAAAGTGGTGATGGAGAGTAGAATGGTCCTGACCTAACAACCAGAGGCCTTGGAAAAGGTGAGAAAGTGGTGCAACCTCATGTTATGGACGTGAGACTAGGGAGGGGGGCATTATGTGCAGGGGTTGATGATTCTCACGTGAGAAGGTAGATTAAGAGATAACCATGTATAAAATACACTTCCGTGTTGAAGAGAATGATTGCAGGTGATGTCTGAATGTAAGATTATGGAGGGTAGTGATTGATGGATATCCATGAGGAAATACAATAATGCACGATATACATGAATATTCTTAAGTTAAAGATATAGGTTAATAGTACTTAAATAATAGTCGTATGGTAAATATATGTATGTACGAATAGTTAGTATGTATTATGTAAAATATATAGAAGTATGTATATATAGGATATTCATGGGGTAAATATATTAATGTATGATTATACATATACGTGTAATGTCTTATTTAAAGGATAATGTATATGTAATTTTTCATGGGGTAAATAGGTTAATGCACTATATACATTATAGTAAATAAATCATCGGGCATATCGCTCGAGGCGGCTGGTGGGTGTGGGTAAAAAAGCCGCTCGAGGCGGCTGGTGGGTGTGGGTAAAAAAGCCGCTCGAGGCGGCTGGTGGGTGTGGGTAAAAAAGCCGCTCGAGGCGGCTGGTGGGTGTGGGTAGAAGCCGCTCGAGGCGGCTGGTGGGTGCAGGTAAAAAGCCGCTCGAGGCGGCTGGTGGGTGCAGGTAAAAAAGCCGCTCGAGGCGGCTGGTGGGTGCAGGTAAAAAAGCCGCTCGAGGCGGCTGGTGGGTGCAGGTAAAAAAGCCGCTCGAGGCGGCTGGTGGGTGTGGGTAAAAAAGCCGCTCGAGGCGGCTGGTGGGTGCAGGTAAAAAAGCCGCTCGAGGCGGCTGGTGGGTGCAGAAGATAGTTTAATAAAAATGCTAGTTTTGGGGGCTGGCGATGAGGGGTTATGGCCTTCTCTTTTGATTGACCTAGGAGGAGGAAGATCTCATTTCTGGTTTACAAGACCAGTGCTTTAATTTTAAGCTACTAGGACAGGATTATCATTTAAGAATCTTGTTTTCTATTAGGGCTAGTGCTGGCATTAAGATGAGGAAAATAGTGAAGTATAAGATGGAGGCTAGTTGGCCAATAATAATAAATGGGTGTTCTACTGGTTGTCCTCCAATTCATGTTAAAATAATAATATCGGCAATTAGAAGTCAAAAAAGAGATTGAGATAGGGGGCGATAAGCTAGAGTGCGTTGTTTTGAAAGGTGGGTTATTGGTACAATTAAAAGAATTAGGATTGAGAAGAGTAAGGCTAAGACACCGCCTAGTTTATTGGGGATTGAGCGTAGAATTGCATAGGCAAAGAGGAAGTATCATTCTGGTTTAATATGTGGTGGGGTAATTAAGGGGTTTGCTGGGGAAAAATTTTCTGGATCACCTAATAGATTGGGTTCAAAAAGAGCTAGTGAAAGGAGGAGTGCAATGGTTAATATAGCGCCTAATAGATCTTTATAGGAGTAGTATGGGTGAAATGGGATTTTGTCTGTGTTGGAGTTTAAGCCTGTTGGGTTGTTTGACCCTGTTTCATGTAAAAAGAGGAGGTGGACCATGGAGGTGCCTATAATAAGAAAGGGTAATAAAAAATGGAAAGTAAAAAATCGGGTAAGGGTTGCGTTGTCTACTGCAAATCCGCCTCAAATTCATTCGACGAGGGAGGTGCCAATATAGGGAATTGCGGAAAGAAGATTGGTGATGACGGTGGCACCTCAAAATGATATTTGGCCTCAAGGTAGTACATAGCCTAAAAAGGCTGTTGCTATTACGAGAAGTAGAAGGAGAACTCCGATGTTTCAGGTTTCGATATATATGTATGAGCCATAATATAAGCCTCGTCCAATGTGTAGGTAGATGCAGACGAAGAATATGGAGGCGCCGTTAGCATGTAGGTTACGAATAAGTCATCCATATTGAACATCCCGATGAATATGAGCAATAGATGAAAATGCAGAAGAGATGTCTGGGGTGTAGTGTATGGCTAGAAAGAGTCCTGTAATGGTTTGAATAATTAAGCATAGGCCTAATAGTGATCCAAAGTTTCATCAAGCAGAGATGTTTGATGGGGTTGGAAGGTCAATAAAGGAGGAGTTAATAATTTTGATGATGGGGTGGTGTTTTCGTGTATTAAGTGCCATTAAGAGTTTTAATAGTTGAACACAACGGTGGTTTTTCGAGTCGCAGGTTTTGGTGAGAGGCCAAATTAAAATAATGATATATTTAATTGAGTTTTTTATGGTCTGTTTAATAGTAAGCTTGATTGGGGTTGCGTCTAATCCCTCTCCTTATTTTGGGGCAGGAAATTTGGTAGTGGGTGCTAGTATAGGTTGTGGGGTTTTAATTTTATTAGGGTGTTCTTTTGTTTCTCTTGTATTATTATTAATCTATTTGGGTGGTATGTTGGTTGTTTTTGCTTATTCTGTTGCTTTAGCGTCAGATCCCTTCCCAGAAGTATGAGGAAAGGTTGGAGGATATTTTAGTGGATATGTTGTATTGGTAGTGTTTTTATTAGTTATGTTTAGTGAAGGAAGTTTTATTAGTTTAGGGGTGAATGGGTTAGATTCGCAGGGTTTATCCGTGGTTCGTGTGGATTTAAGTGGTGTGTCATTATTATATTGTTTAGGTGGTTGGGGTTTATTGATTTGTGGATGGGCATTGTTGTTGGCACTATTTGTAGTATTGGAGTTAACTCGTGGATTAGTGCGAGGAGGTCTTCGTGCAGTTAGGTGTATATGATTGTAATAAAGCATGCTGAAGTAATAATGAAAATGTAAAGATAGAATTTCATAAGGCCTTTCTGTGCTAATGTGTTGGCTTTGATGTTGGGAAGATTTAAAGAAACCAGTCCTTTAGGTCCTGATTTTTCTAATCAAAGTAGATCGTTAATATGAAGGGCTATGTTTTGTCCTATAAACAGAGATGCTAAGGGAATGATGCGGTGAAGTGTTGGATTAAAGAAGCCTAGTTGATTAGAAAATTCATGGTGTTTTGATCGTTTTGTGATTATAAGTCAGGTTGTTTTTTTTGCAATTTGAAGGGCAAAAAGTGCTCCAAGGATGGTAATAATAATAGCAGTGAGTTTTATAGAAGTTGGTATTGTGGTTGGAGTTGGTTTTGTTGGGAGGAGGGTAATTATAAGGATTAGGCCTGCCACAAGGCTTCCGATGGCAAGACGAATAAGTGGGTTAGAGAGGGTTGGTGGTATATCATTTATTGTTGATGTTGTTGTTCGTGGTAAACTTATTTGGACGTAGAAGGTTATTCGTATGGTGTAGGTGGCGGTTAATATAGTTGCAAAGAGTGTAAGTATTAGGGCTCAGGCGTTTAGGTGGGAGTTATTTATAGTTTCAATGATTGTGTCTTTTGAGTAGAAGCCTGATAAGAAAGGGGTTCCTGTTAAAGCAAGATTACCAATTGTAAGGCAGGTGGCTGTGGTAGGCAATATTTTTTGTATACCTCCTATTTTTCGGATGTCTTGCTCGTTGTTAAGATTATGAATAATTGCACCAGAACATAAGAATAGTATAGCTTTGAAAAAGGCATGTGTTGAGATGTGAAGAAAGGCAAGTTGTGGTTGGTTTAGGCCAATGGTTACTATTATGAGGCCTAGTTGACTAGAGGTTGAGAAGGCAATAATTTTTTTAATATCATTTTGTGTTAGGGCACAGAGAGCTGTAAATAGTGTAGTGAGTGCCCCTAGACAAAGGCAGATAGTTAAGGCTGTTTTGTTGTTTTGTAAAATTGGATGGAGTCGGATGAGTAGGAAGATGCCGGCTACGACTATTGTGCTGGAATGAAGTAGGGCTGAAACGGGGGTTGGGCCTTCTATGGCAGCTGGAAGTCAGGGGTGGAGTCCAAATTGCGCGGATTTACCTGCGGAGGCAAGAATAAGGCCGAAAAGAGGTAAAAGGGGGGGAGTTTTAGTTTCAATTGTTATTTCTTGAATATTTCAGGTTGCCAAGTGTATTGCAAGTCAGGCGAGGGCTAGTATTAATCCAATATCACCTACACGATTGAAGATAATGGCTTGAAGGGCTGCGGTATTGGCGTCTGGACGGGTAAACCATCAGCCGATTAATATGAAGGATATGATTCCTACGCTTTCTCATCCAACAAACAGTTGGAATATATTATTGGCTGTAACAAGTGTTAGTATAGCTAATAAAAAGACTAAGAGGTATTTGAAGAATCGGGTTATGTGGGGGTCTTGTGATATATATCAATTAGCAAATTCAAGAATAGATCATGTAACGAAGAGGCTGATTGGGATAAATGTGAGGGAGTACATGTCTAGGACAAGGCTAACGTTGATGTCTATGTTGGCAATGTTGGTTCATGTAAAGTTGGTTGTGGAGGCTTCTATCCCATAGTTTATAAAGATAGTTAGGGGAATAAGGCTGACTTTGAATGCCAGTTGTACAGCAGTTTTTGCGTAAAGTATACCTCACCCTATTATTAGGGGAATTGGATTTATGGTTGTGAGAATTGGGTGTGTTAAGATGAATAGGACTGTAAGCAGGGTTGAATGTAGGAGAAGATCGTGCATTTTTACTTCTACTTGGAGTTGCACCAAGATTTCTGGTACCTAAAACCAATGGATTTCTGCTTTCCTATAGAGGTAAGAGGTCTGAGAATTTTATTCTTAGTTCTTTGAGTTAGCAGCTCTAATTGTTAATACACCTCTTGGTAAATAAGAAGGTAGAACTTCTGTTTCTAGAGTCACAGTCTAGTGTTTTTGATAAACTATATTTACAAGTAAATAGGCCTGAAATGAGGGTGGGTTTTATAATTAGAAGTCCTAAAGGTAATAAGTGTAGGGTTAAGGTAAGATGTTCTCGAGTGTGGGTGGGGGGGAGAAGTCGAAATTGAGTTGAAATGCTTCCTCGTTGGGTTATTAAAAATATATAAAGTGAGTAGGTGGCAGTAATAAGGGTTCCGATTCCGGTAATAATAATTGTTGGAGTAGATCAGTTAAATAGGGTGGAGATGATAAATAGTTCGCCAAGCAGGTTGATTGTTGGGGGTATAGCCATATTAGTTAGGTTAATAAGAAGCCATCAGGTTGATATTAGTGGGAAGGCTAATTGTAGGCCTCGAACAAGGAGAAGTGTTCGGGTGTGCGTACGTTCATAGTTGGTGTTTGCTAGGGCAAAAAGGGCTGATGAGGTTAAGCCGTGTGCAATCATTAGGGTTATAGCTCCAGTTAACCCTCATGGTGTTTGTACAATAATAGCGGCAATTACAAGACCTATGTGACTTACGGATGAGTAAGCAATGAGGGCTTTTAGGTCTGTTTGCCGTAGGCAGATTGAGCTAGTTATTAAAATGCCCCAGAGGGCGAGGATAATAATTGGAAATATAAGGTTGGGTGGGTGGGGGTTAAGTACGGATGAGATGCGAATTAGGCCGTAGCCCCCTAGTTTTAATAAAATAGCAGCTAGGACTATTGAGCCAGCGATTGGGGCTTCTACATGTGCTTTTGGGAGTCAGAGGTGAAGACCATATAAGGGTAATTTAACTAGAAAGGCTGAAAGGCAAGCAAGTCAGAGCAATGGGCTGGAGTCTGTGGAAAGGAGCTCTGGTTGAGTTATAAATAGAAGTTCTATTGAGGTATGAGAATATTTATTATTAAAGTATAAGAGTGTAATTAAAAGAGGTAAAGAGCTTGCTAGGGTATAAAATAAAAAATAAAGGCCAGCATTTAAGCGTTCAGCTTGGTTGCCTCAGCGTGTAATAATAATCAGGGTAGGGATTAGGGTTGTTTCAAATAAAATATAGAATAAAATAAATTCTGAGGCTGCAAAGGTTATGATTAGGGTTGTTTGTAGTGTTATTAAAGTTATTAAGAAAGTTCGTTTACGGGTTAAGGGTTCGGTTTTTAAGTGGTTTTGGCTGGCTAGAATTATGAGTGGTAATAGTCAGCAGGATAAAATAATTAGAGGGGAGGAGGTGGGATCAATATTAAAATATATGGTTGTGTTGGAGATTTTTAGGAGTAAGGGGTGGTTAAATAATATAAGACTTGAAAGTGCTAATAATATAGAATATGCAGTTAAAGTTGGGAATAGGATTTTTGAGTTTAGTAAGAAGGCTGAGGGAATTAGGAGGGCAGTTGGAATAATAATTTTTAACATTTTAGTAAGTTTAGGGTTTTTATATGATCTGTTCCATGTGTTCGGGAAGTTGCGACTAGGAGGGCAAGACCAGTGCTGGCTTCACAGGCAGATAGTGCTAGAAGTAAAATAGGTAATATGGCAGTAGTTGGGGTGTTTGTAAAGGTTGTGAATATGGCTAATATTAAGAAAAGAATTAATATGATGCCTTCAAGACAAATTAAAATAGATATAAAGTGAGTTCGGTGAATGGATAAGCCTAGGAGTCCCAGTAAAAATATGATGTTTAATAGAAAAAAAATTATTGACATGTTAGGGGTTCTAGTTATATTAGAATTTATTAAGTCGAAATTAATTGTCTTAGTTAGACTAACCCCCATATTCAGCTCAGTCTAAGCCGCCTTGGACTCATTCATAAATTAGGCCAGCAGTTAGTAGTGTAATAATTGTAGAGGTTCATATTATAGTGGTTGTGGGTTGTGAGAGGTTAATTGCTCATGGGGTTGGAAGTAGAAGAGCAATTTCTAGATCAAAAAGAAGAAATAAGATGGCTACTAGAAAAAAACGAATGGAGAATGGTAGTCGTGCTGTGCCTAAAGGATCAAAGCCACATTCATAGGGGGAGAGTTTTTCTATGTCTGGTAATATTTGTGGTAGTCAAAAGCTTACTAGTATTAGGATAAAAGAAATTAGTGTAGTAATAATTAATATTAGTATAAGATTCATTACTTTTTCTCAGGTTGAACTGAGGTTGGATGATTGGAAGTCATCTATATTAGTTATATTAAAAAAGTAAGAGCCTCATCAGTAGATTGATACATACAGGAATAATCATACAACGTCTACAAAATGTCAGTATCAAGCGGCTGCTTCAAATCCGAAGTGATGGTTTGTTGTAAAATGAAATAAGGATTGTCGAATGAGGCAGGTAGTGAGAAATAGGGATCCAATAATTACATGTAGGCCGTGGAAGCCGGTGGCTACAAAGAAAGTTGCGCCATAGACGCTGTCTGAGATAGTGAAGGATGTTTCGTGATATTCGCTGGCTTGTAGGGCTGTAAAGTATAGGCCTAGTAAGATTGTTAGGGATAATGCTTGGATAGTATCAGTTCGTTTTCCTTCCATCAAGGCGTGATGGGCCCATGTTACTGTTACTCCGGAGGCTAGCAAGACAGCTGTATTTAGGAGCGGGACTTCAAAGGCGTTTAAAGGGTGGATTCCTGTTGGCGGTCATTGACTTCCAAGTTCAGGGGTGGGGGCCAGACTTGAGTGGTAGAAAGCTCAGAAGAATCCGGCAAAAAATAATACTTCTGAGGTAATAAATAAGATTATACCGTATCGTAGGCCTTTTTGTACTGGCATTGTATGATGTCCTTGATATGTTCCTTCACGAATGACATCTCGTCATCATTGTTGTATTGTTAAAAGTATAATAATAAGGCCGAGTAAAATTAAGTTTATATTATTGAAGTGAAATCATGCTGCAAGGCCTGATGTTAATAATAGAGCTGCGATGGCTCCTGTTAGGGGCCATGGGCTAGGGTCGACTATGTGGAAGGGGTGTGCTTGGTGAGTCATTAGATATTTTCTTGTAAATAAAGGGTTAGAAGTAGTACGAAGACATATGCTTGAATTAAGGCAACAGCTATTTCTAAGCAGGTTAATAGAATTAAGACAATAAGAGTTATTGATGCAGTTAGAGTTATAGTACTAATAAGGGCTAATACTGCTGTTGAAGTAAGCTGAATCAATAAATGTCCGGCTGTTAGGTTGGCTGTTAAGCGTACGCCTAATGCAATTGGACGAATAAATAAACTAACAGTCTCGATTACTACTAATATGGGAATTAATGGTGTTGGTGTGCCTTCTGGGAGAAGGTGGCCCAGTGAAGCTGTTGGTTGATTTCGTAGGCCAATTAAGACTGTTATTAGTCAGGTTGGAATGGCGAGAGCTATATTTATTGAAAGTTGGGTGGTTGGGGTAAAAGTATAAGGTAATAGTCCTAGGGTATTAAATAGTATTAGTATTAGTAATAGTGCTATAAAAGTACTTGCTCATTTATGTCCTGCAATATTAACAGGTAGTATTATTTGTTTTGTTGCATTAATAATGAGTGAGGATTGAATGGTTGAGTAGCGGTTTTGAATAAGGCGGCTGGTTGGAAATCAAATAATTAATGGAAAGAATAAAGCTGGGATAATAAGGGGGACTCCTAGCATATTGGGAATTGCAAACTGATCAAAAAAGCTTAGGGTCATGGTCAGGTTCAGTAGTGGTTGTTGGATTGTTTTTTATATTGTTGGGTTGAAAGGCGGGGACTAGTATTAATAATTTTTGTAAAAAACATGATGAGGGTTGTTCATACTAATACAAATATTATGAATCAAGGGGCGGGGTTAAGTTGAGGCATGTCACTAAGGGAAATTGTTTCCCTCTCTAGCTTAAAAGGCTAGTGCTGTATGTTAGCTTCTTAGTGATGAAGAAATTATTGTTTTAGATCATGCTTCGAAGTGTTTTAATGGTGTTGACTCTACAACAATGGGCATGAAGCTGTGATTAGACCCACAAATCTCTGAGCATTGGCCGTAAAATAGTCCGGGGTGGGAGGTAATTAAAGTGGTTTGGTTTAATCGACCTGGGACTGCGTCTGTTTTAATGCCAAGAGCTGGGACAGCTCATGAGTGTAGAACGTCTTCTGCTGAGATTAAGATTCGAATTGGGGATTCCATTGGAATTACAACTCGGTGATCTACTTCTAATAGGCGAAAACCCCCAGGACTGAGATCACACGTTGGGATTATATAGGAGTCGAATAGCAGGCTTTCGTAGTCAGTATATTCATAGCTTCAGTATCATTGGTGGCCAATAGCTTTAATAGTTAGATGGGGGTTATTAATTTCGTCTATTAAATAGAGAATTTGGAGGGACGGAAGAGCAATTAGGATAAGAATAATTGCAGGAAGGATGGTTCAAATTATCTCAACTTCTTGGGCATCTATTGAGTTAGTATGTGTAAGTTTTGTTGATAATATTAAGCTAATAATATATAGTACTAGAGCACTAATTAGAAAAACAATTATTAGTGCATGATCATGAAAATGAAGAAGCTCTTCTATAATAGGGGAGGCTGCATTTTGGAAGCCTAGTTGTGCTGGGTGTGCCACTAAGGTTCACAGGTTTTGTGGCCTGTAATTTAGTACTGACAGAGCTATGTAATTGTTTTACTAGAACCTTATAAGGGGAGAAACATAAGAGGATGTGTGACTGGCTTGAAACTGGTTAGAGGTGGTTCAAGTCCCCCCTCCCTTGAGGTTTGTACATAAGTTGCTTCTTCGTATGTGTGGTAAGGAGGAGGGCAGCCGTGAAGTCATTCTAAATTTGTGTTTATTAATTCTAGAGTAAAGACTTCACGTTTGGCTGCTAGAGCCTCTCAAATAATAAATATTATTATAATTACGGCTGTGAGGGAAATTAGGGAGCCAATTGATGAAATAGTATTTCAAAGGGTATATGCGTCTGGATAGTCAGAATAACGTCGGGGTATACCTGCTAGTCCAAGGAAATGTTGTGGAAAAAATGTTATGTTAACTCCGGTAAATATTACTCCAAATTGAATTTTTGTTCATGAAGAGTGAAGGGTGTAGCCTGTAAAGAGGGGAAATCAATGGACGAATCCGCCTATAATTGCAAATACAGCGCCTATTGATAAGACATAGTGGAAATGAGCAACTACGTAGTAAGTATCATGAAGGACAATGTCTAATGAGGAATTGGCTAGGATAATACCTGTAAGACCCCCTACAGTAAACAAAAAAATAAAACCCAGAGCCCACAATATAGCGGCATCTCATTTAATTGTTCCGCCATGAAGGGTTGCAAGTCAGCTAAAAACTTTTACTCCAGTAGGAATAGCAATAATTATAGTGGCTGAGGTAAAATAAGCTCGGGTATCAACGTCTATTCCTACTGTAAATATATGATGGGCTCATACAATAAAACCTAAGAAGCCAATTGATATTATAGCTCATACCATTCCTATGTAGCCAAAGGGTTCTTTTTTGCCTGCATAATATGTAACAATGTGGGAGATTATACCAAAGCCTGGAAGAATCAGAATATATACTTCCGGGTGACCGAAGAATCAAAATAGGTGTTGGTAAAGAATAGGGTCTCCTCCGCCAGCTGGGTCAAAAAAGGATGTATTTAAGTTTCGATCGGTTAGCAGTATGGTGATACCAGCGGCTAGAACAGGAAGGGAGAGAAGGAGTAGCACTGCTGTAATTAGGACAGATCAAACAAATAAAGGGGTCTGATATTGTGTTATGTTAGGGGGTTTTATATTGATGCAGGTAGTAATAAAGTTAATTGCACCTAAAATAGAGGAAACTCCAGCTAAATGGAGTGAAAAAATGGTTAGATCTACTGAGGCTCCTGCATGAGCTAGATTCCCGGCTAATGGGGGGTAGACAGTTCAGCCAGTGCCAGCACCTGCTTCAATACCTGAAGATGAGAGAAGTAGTAGTAGAGATGGGGGTAATAATCAGAAGCTTATATTATTTATTCGTGGAAATGCTATATCAGGGGCACCAATTATTAATGGGACTAGTCAATTCCCAAAACCCCCAATTATTACAGGTATTACTAAGAAGAAAATTATAACAAAAGCATGTGCTGTAACAATAACATTGTAGACTTGATCATCACCAAGAAGGGTTCCGGGTTGACTAAGTTCTGTTCGGATTAAAAGACTAAGGGCTGTGCCGACTATCCCAGCTCAAGCACCAAATAATAGATATAAGGTGCCAATATCTTTATGATTAGTTGAAAACAGTCAACGAATTAATGACACAGGTAGAATGGCCGAATATTAGGTGGGGGGCTGTAAACCCCCTTATGGAGGTTTGAATCCTCTTTTTACCATTAGCCCCGAGGTGGTTTGTTTCCACGCCAAAATGCAAATTTGGAGAAGTACCCTATAAGTGCCGGGGCTTCCCCCGTTTTTTTTCAAACGGGGGAAGAAGAAATAGGTAGAAGTATAAAAGATGGAAGCCCGCTGGGTAGGGTTTTTAGCTGTTAACTAAAGTTTTACAGGATCGAGGCCTGTCCATCTAGTTTAGGCCTTAGCTTAATTAAAGTGTTTGGGTTGCATTCAGAAGATGTATATTAGAGTTATACAGGTCTTAGGCAGAAACTAGGGAGTTTTTGACCCTATTAAAGGCTTTGAAGGCCTTTGGTTTAAAATTAACCTAAGTTTCTAAGTGTAAATTAGTGGTGTGATTGGAATTAATAGAAGTGTAGTAATAATTATAGGGACAGGATTAATTGGTTTAGTAGATTTAAATCGTCATTTTATAGGATTATTGGATGTATTTGGGGAAATGGTTAGGGTTGAAACATAAGTTAGACGTATATAAAATATTAGGCTTAATAGGGAAGAGAGTGCGAGGATAGTTGCTAGTGGTAATAGGGAATTAGTGGTTAATTCTTTTAGAATTAATCATTTGGGAATAAAGCCGGTTAGTGGTGGTAGTCCTCCTAGTGCTATTAGAGTAATTATTGTAATTGTGGAAAGTGCCGGGGAGATTGCTCATATTATTCCTAAGTCCTTGGTGGTTTTGGTTGTTGAAATAATAAGAATTATAAATATTGAAGTTGTTATTAGTAAGTAAATTGTTAAAGTAAGAAGAAGAAGTTTTTGGGAAATAAGTGAAATTGAGATCATTCAGCCTAGATGTCCAATTGATGAAAATGCTATGATTTTTCGTAGTTGGGTTTGATTAAGTCCGGATCATCCCCCAATTAATGTAGAGGAGATGGCTAATAGTGATAAAAGAATTATTGAAAATTGATCAGAGGTAAGGTAAAGTAGTGATATTGGTGGTAATTTTTGTCATGTTGCAATGATGAAGGCTGTTGTGGTGTCAGTGCCTTGTATAACTTCTGGTAATCAGAAGTGCATGGGGGCTAGGCCTAGCTTTATGGTTAGGGCAATTAATAGTATGGTAGGGGTTGGCTGTGTTGTAAGTTGAGTAATATCTCAGGTTCCGGTGTATCATGCATTAATAATACTTGAAAATAAAATAATGGATGAAGCAGTTGCTTGAATAATAAAGTATTTTGTTGCGGCTTCGGTGGCTCGTGGGTGGTGGTGTTTAGCTAGGATTGGAATAATAGCAAGGGTATTAAGTTCTAATCCGATTCAGGCTAGAAATCAATGATAGCTGGCAGCTGTGATGATTGCTCCAAGGGCTAAATTGCACATTAAGATGGATATAATGTAGGGGTTCATTAGTAAAGGAGGGGTTTGACCAACATTTTTGGGGTATGGGCCCAAGAGCTTTATTAGCTGACTTTACTAGGGGATAGTATAGTGGTAGTACGAAGGATTTTGGAGTCTTAGGTGTGGGTTCAAGTCCCATTCTTCTAGAGGAGGTGAGGGGGTTTATAAGTCCCTGTGGTTTACTCTATCAAAGTAACCCCTAAGTCTCGGGCACACATCCTGGTGAAAGTTAATTTAATGGTGGGAGACCGGCTAGTGAGATTGGAAAGGAGATATATCATAAATAAAGTGCTAGAGTAGCTGGGAGAAATTGTTTTCATAGAAGATGTATTAGCTGATCATAACGAAATCGTGGGTAGGAGGCTCGGACTCATAAAAAACCAATAGTTAGTAGGGTAGTTTTTGTTATTAAGTTAATTGTAAAAAGTTCTGTTTGTAAGGTGATGGTTGGACTAAGAAATAAGATGCATGATAGTGTGTTTATCATTAAAATGTTTATATATTCAGCTAGAAAAAAAAGTGCGAAGGGTCCTGCTGCGTATTCTACATTAAAGCCTGAAACAAGTTCTGATTCGCCCTCTGTTAAGTCGAAGGGTGCTCGGTTTGTTTCTGCTAGGGTTGATACGTATCATATTATGGCTAGAGGTCAGGTAGATAAAATTAATCATGTGTGTTCTTGTGTAATGATAAGAGTGGATATTGTAAAGGCGCCGGTTAATATAATAATGGAGAGTAAAATAATGCCTAAGGTAACTTCGTAGGAAATTGTTTGTGCAATAGCTCGAAGGGCCCCTATTAGGGCGTATTTTGAGTTGGATGCTCATCCAGATCATAAAATTGTATAGACTATTATACTTGAGAGGGCGAGTAGGAATAGGAGACCCAGGTTTATGTCTGCGAGGGGGTGGGGTATGGGTATAGGGGTTCATATTATAAGGGCTAGTAAGAGGGCTAGGGTTGGGGCTAAAATAAAAAGTATCGGGGATGCATGTGTTGGGCGAATAGGTTCTTTAATAAATAGTTTAACCCCATCAGCAATTGGTTGTAAAATCCCAAAAGGTCCGACTATGTTTGGGCCTTTTCGGAGTTGTATATAACCTAGGATTTTTCGTTCAAGTAACGTTAAGAATGCTACAGCAATAAGGATGGGGATGATGTATGAGATTGGGCTAATAATATGTGTTATAAGTTTCTGCATTATTAAGAAGGGAATTTGCTTCCCTGTAGAAAGATTTTAGGTCTTTTGCATTGCTTGACTCTGCCACCTTAATAAACCTGATTTTGATTTAGGAGAAAAGCATAATAACTACTTTAGTAGAAGTCAGTAGTTTATTTTGGGACGTTTATTTAGTATAGGTCCCACTATTTTGGTCCTTTCGTACTAAAAATAGTGCTGCATAGATAGAAACCGACCTGGATTTCTCCGGTCTGAACTCAGATCACGTAGGACTTTAATCGTTGAACAAACGAACCTTTTATAGCGGCTGCACTATAGGGGTGTCCTGATCCAACATCGAGGTCGTAAACCCTCTTGTCGATAGGGACTCTAGAAGAGGATGGCGCTGTTATCCCTGGGGTAACTTGGTTCATTGATCAGACAGTAGAATAACTGCTGGGTCTATAAAAATTATTTTTGGTGTGTTAGTCTTAATAAATAAATTCATATTTTGGAGGGTTTTTTTTGCTCCGAAGTCGCCCCAACTAAAAATCCAGGAAGCATATTTGATACTTTTGGTTTTTAAGCTCCACAGGGTCTTCTCGTCTTATGTGTTTATTCCAGCTTTTGTACTGGAGGATCAATTTCATTGGCTAGTCCGTAAGAGACAGTTTTGTCCTCATTTAGCCATTCATTCCAGTCCCTATTTAGGGGACAAGTGATTATGCTACCTTTGCACGGTTAGGATACCGCGGCCGTTTAAAAAGTCACTGGGCAGGCGGGACCTTTAATACTTGTAAAGCTAAAGGCTATGTTTTTGGTAAACAGTTGGGACAGGTTGTTGCCGAGTTCCTTTTACGGCTTTTTGTCTTTCTTTAGTGCATGCCTGTGTTGGGTTAACAAATTTTTGATGACTTTTATCTAGTGTATGTGGGGTCATGTGGTGGTAATTATCAGTAGTTTTTCTATTCTGATTTAAGGGGATGCAGAGAGAAATTATTATTTCTTATTACTAATTTTAGCATTGGTATTTCTATGTTAATATAGAATAGCTCGAAGTATATCAGGAGATAGTTTGGGCTGTTGAAATTATTTTGGTTGGATGCTGTAACGCAATTGTATGGTGGCTGCTTTGAAGCCTACTTAGGTTAATAAAGGTGGGTTTCTCTCAGTTCGGGCTGTATTCCGGTTCAATGGGGCTGTACCCCCATTGATTTTCTTTAGGAGGAAGAATGAATTTTGGAAATAATTTACACATACCTAAAGTTGAACTTAAATTCTTTTATTGAGCAGCCAGCTATCACCAAGCTCGATTGGCTTTTTGCCTCTATTTTTAGGTCTTCCCACCCTTTTGCTACAGGGACGGGTGTGCTCTAGATTAACAGCTGCCCAAAAATAGCTCGTTTGGTTTCGGGGGGGCAGGCTAAAGGTTCGCTTTGTCTGAAGAGGTTTTGCTAAACCATGATGCAGGAGGTACAGGGGTTGGTCTTTGCTGTTTTATGCTTAGAGTTTTTCATTATTCTTTCACTGTTCCCTTGCGGTACTTGTAAGGCCATGGTGGGGTTTAATCTCATTTACTGGCCGGAAAAAATGGTTTGGTTTAAATTAAGGGTTGTTTGAGGGTTTGTAGGTTTGTTTGGCTGAAGTTGTTGGGCTCAAAAAGGTCGTGGTTTGAATGCGGCATCTTCCAGTTGTAAGCTGGGTGCTTTATATAAGCTACTCTTTGTTAGTCCAAGCACACCTTCCGGTACGCTTACCATGTTACGACTTGCCTCCTCTAGTTTTAGTAGACTTTGTTTATAAAAGTTGTTTTGTTTTGTTGAGGAGGGTGACGGGCGGTGTGTACGCGTCCCAGAGCGTTGTTAAAACAGACACTCTTATCTGTTTTACTACTAAATTCACCTTCATGCAGTGTTTCATAGTGCAATTCGTATTTTTTATTATAAAAAATGTAGCCAATCTCTTCCTCAACATTTGCTACACCTTGACCTGACGTGTTAGCGATAAGGCTATTGTGTTTACTATTGGGCCTTCATAGGGTAAACTGTCGACGGCGGTATATAGGCTGATATTTTGCTAGTTGAGGTTGGGTGGAACGGGGATTATCGATTATAGGACAGGCTCCTCTAGGTCGATATGGGACACCGTCAAGTCCTTTGAGTTTCAAGTTTTTCACTTGTAGTTCTCTGGCGGAAAGTCCTGTATAGGTAACTATCGATGTTCAGGGCTTAGCATAGTAGGGTATCTAATCCTAGTTTGTTTCTAAGCTTTCGTGTGGTCAAGAGTATAATATAAAAATATCTGTAGTGGTTTTCTTCATTATCTGAGTGTTTTACAACTAGATTAAGAATTTTGATGTTTAAAATATTATAGATCTCTAGTCACATTTTACGCCGGTTTGTCGTTATTTTGGGCCTTTCGTATAACCGCGGTGGCTGGCACGAAATTGACCAGCCCTAAATTATTATAGCTGGGTCAAGTTTTCACTTATAGCCCAATGTTTATTACTGCTGGTAAGCCCGTGGGGGTGTGGCGTGGCTAGGCGTTATGGGCTTATAATAGTGCCTGATGCCTGCTCCATTTTATCTTTTAAGGGGTTATGGGCGTTTTCACTGGATTGTTGAGGCTTGCATGTATAATCTTAATAAAAAATAACGGTAAGCCCAGGACCAAAGCTGTTGTCCGTGGAGGTTTTTCTATTCCTCGTCTCGGCATCTTCAGTGCCGTGCTTTAAAAAATAAGCTACAATGAC